ACAACACTGCTGATGCCATATATTGGAAAAGTTTGTCTTGTCATAAAAATGTTAAGACTGAACTTAAAAATACTTAATTATGAGGATGTAATGTAGGAAAAAAAAAAATAATTTTTAAATTACTGACACTGAATTTTCAATCAGTGTCCTACATAACATTACTCTAAATATACTCTAAATATTTCTTTGGCAGAAGAACACAAACACTTTGTTTCAAACTTGAAAATGCATAGAAGCTAAAATTATTTTCTAAGCAATTTTAACCATTGTTTCAATATTTATTAGTTTCTCTTTCAAAGCAATGTTCACTCTATTTTTGGTCTTTGTTTTACAGTAACAAAAGGAAGAGGATGAAAACAGCATACCTTTGTCTTCGGACAACTTCACTTCAAACCATTCATAGCTGTGCCAGATCTAAGGTTTCCAGCAAAACGATGATAATAGAATAGCTTTTCTCTAAGACTTGGTTAGAAAAGGCTTTGACTAGGCCAGATTTGGGTTTTAGAAAATGAACACGTCCGTGCGTGGAAAGATGGACCGTTTTTCCTTCTCTTATGTGAGACGGCCGATATAATGGCAATCATGTGAAAGGAGAATCGTACGAACAAAAAAAGAGCCAAGTATTGCAGGGACTTCAAAGAATTGCTCATGTCAATTGACAGAAAGATAAATACATTAATAAACATAAGCCTAAAATACTTTTCCCCTGCTCAATTAAACAATTTTAAAAGGAAATTTAGAAATGAAAAGGCCAGAATATTTTTGATTCTTAAACCTCCAGTTCTTAGATATTGGTTTGATGTTGTCATGACAGTTGTGAAACCTATTAAAAATCTATTAAATTAAAATTGTGTAAATGTGTTTATATCAAATAAAAGTCAAGGCTGAAATGAAATAGCATACCTTTTTCACCTTTTTCTTTGGACAACTTCACTTCAAAGCATTCATTGCTCTGGTCGCAGTAGTAAGAACCCATATCAGATTTCTGGAGCTCATCAATGGTGATAGAGTAATTCCTCTTTGAAGCCTGGATGGGAAAGGTTTTCACTCGCCCAGATCTGGGGTCCAGGTAAAGAATGCGTCCCTTAGATGAGAGACGAACCAGGTCCACATTTTGTCCATCTTCCTTAGCCTGAGTCCAATTGACCCAGTCGAAGTCATTTGATGAAAAGTTGCAGGGCAAGACCACAGAAGAGCCAAGTGGAGATCTGATTTCTTGAGTTTTACAACTTCCTTCATGTGAATGAGAATGAAGGACAGTTTCATAAAAAAATGCAAAGACATAAATAATAATAAACCTATGTTTAAATAAAAAATGTAGACTTAATAACTGATGTGTTTAACAAGACTTTGGGTAAATGTCATTTTTCTGCAAGTGAGTGGCAGTTGTTTGAATTATTTTTTCACCAAGATCTTTTTTCTTTAAAGGACACTCAGAGCATTCATGTGGGGTAGCAGTTTTCTTCATCACATTGCAAGATTCCAGTAAATTACAATCTGAGCTAGCTCAAGAAGTATATCTTGTCATCTTAGAAAACAGGACAGCAGCCTGCTTAAATATCAGTCTCAATTTGTCATATGTTTCTCAATAAAGAGGCTTGTTTTTTTTTTTGTTTTTTTTTACATGAAAAGTGTCTTTGAAAATAAACATTTTCATTAAGCCCAAATTTCTGTATTGTTTCTTTTATTGTTCTGCTTTGATATTCTAATAATAAATCATAAATCAAACTTCATAATTCAGGAAAATGTATTAAAACACAATTTTTTAACCAAAAGTGTATGTAATGATTTCTTCAAAGATATGAAATGGAAGTAAGATGAGAGAAAACTGCAGTGCTTGGGTGCAGAAAGTGGTTTTCCAAATGACAGAGGTGAGAACTGTGCTATCTCTATCTGGACCCATCAGAACACATATCTTTTTTTTTTTTTCTCACACACTTTAAGCTTAATCTTTACTGTTCAAACTGAGATTTTTTTTTTGTTTTCATGTATTTACTTCTTGAGACAGATGTGTAGTTTGACTTGTCTTTAGATTGCGAATATTAAAAACATATTTTCATTTTACTATTGAAAACATATCTGTGGTCACGATCAATATAGATTTTCTTTTCAATAGTCATTCCACCAAATATTTTTAGTTACTTTTGTCTTGATCCATGAAGATTTGCTGCTTAAAAATTGTGGCCCACATCTGTCCTTTTAGGTTTTATCAATGCATTAGGTAATTCTAATCAATCAGTTTATCGTAGTTTGGGCAGTCGTCTTTCCTCCCACTCCCCCACAGAAGCCCTTCTCTCAGGACTAAGTAAACATTATTATTATTATTATTATTATTATTATTATTATTATTATTATTATTATTATTATTATTATTATTATTATTATTATTATTTATTTATTTATTTATTTTTTTTTTAAATTCAAATAAGCTACTCTCTGCATCTGGAAATAAATAATAATTTTCCTTTTTTTTTGTTAGAATAGCTTAAAGGTTATCAGTTCCCTGAAACAAAAACCTAAATGTTGAGAATCTTGTTTAATAAAAAACTTNGCTGNAAGGTATTTTCGAGAACTGCTTACTTGAAAAGGTAGTAAATAAAAATAAGCTTCAGTACTTTTCCACTGCTCAAATAAACATTTCACTAATGTAGAAAAGAAAAATATTTGATACCAGAATAGATTTAAGGTACAAGAGAAACAGCATACCTGACAACTTCACTTCAATGCATTCATTGCTCTGCTTGCAGTAGTAAGAACCTATATCAGATTTCTGGAGCTCATCAATGATGATAGAGTATTTCCTCTGTGAAGCCTGGATGGGAAAGGTTTTCACTCGCCCAGATCTGGGGTCCAGGTAAAGAATGCGTCCCTTTGAGTTGAGACGAACCAGGTCCACATTTTGTCTATCTTCTTGAGTCCATTCAACCCAGCTGGAGTCATTTGATGAAAAATTGCAGGGCAAGACCACAGAAGATCCAAGTAGAGCGCTGACTTTATGCTTCTTACAGACTCGTTCACCTGAATGAATTGCAACAGTTTCATAAAAAAAACAAATAAATAAAAAATAATAAACTCATGAATTTTAGAAGTGTACATCTTAGAGACCGCTTGCTCCATGTGAGCAGCTTGCTCAAATGTCAGTTTCAGTTTGTCAAATAAACTCATATTTAATATATTAGAATATGTGTTTACAGATATCCTTAATAAATTGTCCTCCTAAATGGGAGGAAAATAAGGAAGGTTCCCATTAATTTGCACTGTCTGTCCTTAACACTGTTTTTGAATTGGGATTATTACAAAATTGGGTTAGAAATGAATGATTTTTAAATTAAGTGAAGATTATTTATATTCTTTTAAACAGAGTGTTACCCCAACCTAAGGCACAGTAATGCATTGTGAATGTGAACTATAAAGTTCAAAAATTGTAAGGTAGAGGTATGTGAAGAGGCTGTGAGCAGTAAATATTTTAAGTGGAACGAAGACTGCACGGTGACAAACATACAAAGTCTCCAGGTTTGAATGTCACATTTTTGGTATTCATGAGGATCCAAAACATAAACAGGTAAAAGGCCCATGCATGATGGTTGGGACTGTGGTTTTTGCCGTATATGTTTCTTTAGGTTTCTGTGTTTTTCTTTAGTTCTGTTCCCTGTGAGTCTCTGTGACTTCCTGTCTCTCCCCCTTGATTGTTTCCCAGGTGTGTCTCGTTTCAGTGATTATCCTCTATATATTTAAGTCCACCTGTTGTCTCTGTGTCTTGTTGGGTCCTGGTTATTTATCAGACTTCATGTTGTTTGTCTCAGTTGTCACAGTTGAACAGTTTGTCCTGTGTCAGCTGCAGCTCTCGTCTCAGTCTTTATTCAGTTGCTACCAGTGCTGATGTTTCCGCTCTGCCGTGCTGCCTATTACTTGAACTGTGTGAGCTGGTATTTTCATTCTTAAAATTCATCTTTTATCAACATCCTGGGTCCTGCCTGCGTTCTCCCTCACCTCACCCACACCTCTTCATGATAATGATGGTGTTAGGATTCAATGGAAGAAGTTTCTTATCAGTGATGTCTCCGCTGACGTTTAATGTTTTAAGAAGACTGATAGCCATGCAATATAATACAGTATAAGATAGATATATTATTTGACATTTATTGCAAATACTTTTACATATTAATTTTAAGAAATGTTTGGTAATTAATCAGAGCTCAATATAACATCAAAAACATTGGGAACATTTGCCATATTGTGCTTACGAGCATATTTAAAACAAAATGTTTTAAAATGTTATACATATGGCAATTTTAACAAATACATTTTAGCTTAAGAAATGACTTACTTGAAACAGATGTAAGCCACAGGGTTAAGAGAATAATCCACTTGTCTGAATACATTCTCAGTATCTTCATGAATGTGAGATATATGAAACACGGCAGGGCTGCTTATATTCTCAAATACAAACCACAAGACTACCACAGTAGGTTCACGCTTAATTCACGGAAATACCTTCACTGACTTTCACATGTAGTCTAAAGCTTTTAAGAGAATGTCATGATAATGATACATATTGGATTTGTCTTTGTTAATCTTTTACACAAGTGTAGTGAGAAAGATTTTCAATTAATCAGTAAAGTACATCAGCCATGAACTATCAATGTGTAAGTTGCCAGCATTCCAAATTTATGCTTATTTTAAGCATAAATTTGAGTGATATGAAAAAATGCTAGTTTTGGAGCATGTAAAAGTCACAAGGAGTCAAAGTAATCGTGGACTTTTCACTTTCATCATCATATAAGTTTGGTTTTAGATCATGTATTTCTATCTTTCTTTGCAAATTTGTTGTTATTGCTTTATGAAGCTGCAGGTGCTTCCTCTGGTATTTGCATTGCAGCAGTTTTGGGGTATGTCACACTTCAGAGTTGTAAACAGTTCAGCCTAGTTTCTCCATGGGTAGACTTAAAATGTAAAAAAAAAAAAATGAAAGTCCTGAGATTAAAGTTTGATGAATTTTAAGTTCAGTTTGGTTCTTTTGCCTGTTCGTGGTATCGTTTCAGTGTATTTCTAGATCAAGCCGTTCTTTCATGTGTGGCACTCAGAACTCTTCAGTACAAATACTTCCTGATTGGCAAGGGCATCATCTATTTACTTATATAGGCCTGATCTATAGCAGCAGAAGAAAAATCTTAAGTTCGTGGCAACATTATGTCAGTCAGTGCCCCTCTCCACAGTTGTTACATACATGGTAGGTATGAGAAATTGATATAAAGTCAACAACACAAGCAGTCATCCGCTGTCACTACATTCATGTGCAGGAAGTTCATGCGTGTTCTGATCCTGTTACTTGCTTGTATTTTTTTTCCTCATTTATATGTAAAATACATTCACTATTTGAGAAGCATAGTGGACTTTGAAAATAAATCTGCAGTTTTTTCTTCCCTGTTCAGTTAGGGAAGATGTAAGTATGGGTAATTTGACTTAACCAGAATCTAAGCCAACCAGTCGCTGACATTGTGAACCCCAATTTGCTCTGGCCCTAGGTGTTACAATGACAAAAATTCCAAGACAACACATAGCACAATGAAAAAAATTATTCAGTTCAATCTATAAACGTGTCACATGGGGGTGCTGTGGTGGCGCAGGGGCAAAGCACAACCCACATATGAAGGCCTTAGTTGTGGGTTTGATTGCAGGCCTGGTGACATGTGCTGCATGTCTTCCCCCTCTCTCATTACCCTATTTCCTGTCAAGCAACTTTCAAATAAAGGCCACTAGAGCCAAAATGTGGAAATATCTGATCTTCTTACATTTATTTTTGTAGAGTAAATTATTTAATTTCAAGTAAACATGAAAAATTGATTGTTTTTTTTTCAATAAAAAATAGATACCAATAACCATATGTGCTATACTTTAGAAAAAATTTGGACCACCCACCACCTTATAACCAAATTTATACTGTGATTTTTTTTTCCTTGAAGTTATAACTCAGGACTCGAGTGACATCACACGTAAGAATACCATAGTTGTAAGTTGGAATACGGAAGATGTTAACATAAAGGCATTTTTCCTGAACTATGGGCATCTGGTTTCAATAAAATGTAAACAATCAGAAATGCAAATAACAGTTTTTATAACTGTAATTTGTACTATAAACTCTGTGTGTGTGCACACAGAGGTGCTAAGGCCACCATGTATGCTAAGTCTTTCAAAGTTGGAATTTCAGTTTCTGAACCAATTTTTGTCTTTTTTTTTACTGGAAACTTAGAAAATCTAGCCTCAGAATACAAACAGAATGTAATTTAACATAAAAATAAAACTTCTTAGAAAAGATGCATTTTTTAACATAAAATTTTAATTAACAAAGAAAAATAACAGTATTAATCTTGTTATAGGGTCTTTCATATTTTCATTTTGTGCCCCAACCCTATCTAAATTGATGGAATAAGCTCTGATTTTTTTGTCCAGGTTATCAGTTACCTTTAAATACTTTCATTAAATTTTACTGACTACATTGTTTTTTAATAAATTGCATTTATTATAATCATACTTTAGTTATCTATAATTAGCATCTTTGTCCACATATAAATAGTGTATGTTTCTTGTTCACTGGTTCCTAATAACTTTATCCCAAAGGTATTGTTATTTAATGGGGAATATTTTTTGGTATGAAGACAAGAAGAAAAGCTTGTTTTACAAGTTTTCCTCTTGGTTATTAGATAAATATATCTAATATACATTTAGATAAATCTTGAAAGTCTTCAGTTTTGATGTAAATTTTTTTTTTGTTTTTTTTTTTTTTTTTTTTTTAAACAAGTGAAACATTTCATGTATTGTACTGTTATACTTATTTTTTTTTTCTAGCTGTGACTGACAGGCTGATGTCAACACCCACTCAGATGAGGGCTGACTCTACTCTGCTCTTCATCAGTGTAAGAAAAATGATTAAATTGGAGACACTGCCTCCCGGTGGTATTAATGCAGCACCAGTAGTATGGGAGTCACTACAAATGAACGTTCTGATATAAATGCAGTGACAACAATAAAATAATAAAACTGTTCACTGGCCGGAAACTGGAGACTGTTCTGAATATTAAATGTGACTTAGTGTTAAAGAGTTGTAATCTTGAGAATATTAAGTGTTTTCATATCCCTTTTGGTTTATAGAAGTGCAGCAGCTAAGTTCATATCTGTAATGTCTAGAGTTTCCCAGCAGGAGGCCTCAAAATGACAACTAGCACAAAACTAGCAGCAGCATCATTCTTCACAAGTGTTGTTTATCAGTTACAAAGATCAGTGCTGCTATGATCCTGGCTATGAAAACAAACTAGTTCACATGTTCTTGTATTTTAGATTGTAGATTAATTATTTGAGCCAAATCAAGAAATATTGCTTTAATATGTTTACATCAACACAAAAAGTACAACTTCTCAGTCACATGGATCTATATACTTAGACTGAGAGTTTTTGTGGTAATGCATCAAGATAGGGTAAAATATAAATGAGGCCAAAACAAGATCTAACTTAACTAAAAGTATTTTATTAACATAACATATTGGCAGCTGTCTTCCAGAAAATAAGCAGAAGTGAATGTAAACCACACATAAAGTCTATGTTCCTTGTTTGCTGTTAAGACTGCTTGCAAATGCTATTGATCTACTGAAACAATGGGAGGTAATTAATTTTTGGTGTTTTTCCCAGATGTCTTATAATGGGTGTAAAATTAGAAATTAGGACTGACACAGTTGAAAGGTTGCACAGAGGTAACCTATTCATTTTTCTGTCACACCCCAGATTATCAAAGACATGTCAGTGTTAAACAAAGATAATCTGAGCAATTGGTTTTTTAAATTATCTTATTCATGAAGAGTAAAGAGTAAACAAATGTGAAAAGGTAATTATCCTCATTAGCAGCAGAAATGGTTGAGCCACTGTTGGCAGTAACAAGCTTTTCGCTAGCTGGCAATCAGTGTTTTTCATCAGTGTGAAAGGATTGTGACCCAACCTCTGTAGAGGTTTTCAAAAATAAACAGCCAGTTTAAATTAATACCACAATGCCACAGATCATTGTGCTGCTGCACAACCTGAATACATGTAAGCTTCATGTCCTGAATTGATGGCGAAATGTTCATCTACTTTTGGCTTGTTAGTCTACAGAATATTTTCTCAAAGGACCACACATAGTTTTGTAACACTAACTAATGGTGGATGGAGAATTCCTAAATTCAACAAAAAGGGCCAGAACAAGTGTGTGTGTGTGCAACAGGGATCTTATTAGCTGTAACTTTTTAAAGGGTGACAGAANGGAATAAATTAACTTTTCTATACAATTTTAATTTACTGACCATGACTGTATGTAACCTATGTCAGGGGTGTCAAACTCATTTTATTTTGGGTCATATCAAGATCATAAATGAGGAACAGTAAAGTAATAAAGGAACAGTTGTGCCAGAATTTATTGATAAAACCCAAATGTTCAAACATTAATCAATAGCTGACTGAGTACTTATTATAATTAAATAATATTTAACATATTTTTACATTGATGTAATTTGATAGTTTACAAATAAAAACTGATTGGATTTGACTGATTAAAAAAGAAAAATAAGCACACAGCTGTTTATTTGAAGGTTCTTTTCATGTGGCCCACTAGAGCCTTGAGGGCCACATAAAAAGCTACGGCAGGCCGGCCGCCGGGCCGTGAGTTTGACACATGTGACTGAGACTTTATCTGCTACATCAACCCAGAGGAGACCATGACTCCACGGGCTTGAACACTGAAAACCAATCAGAATCTGAACCGCACTGGCTGCATCACCCAGGACAAAAGTAAATCTGAACAGATGTTTACTGGTTTTTCCACTTTGCTACTTGCCACTTTTGGTGTTTTTTAAAAATTTTTTATTTGACTTTTTCAAAGTCTGCTACACGCTGTTTCATACTGACCACATGTCAGCGCAACCATCCTGGCAAAGTTTTTTTTTTTTTTTTTTTTTTTTTATGTCCGATTTCTGATTGGGTCAGACCTTGGGATGGGGATTGTTTATAAGCTGTTTTTCAAAAACAAGGAAAAGAAAATGTTAAGTGTTTGAATTGTGTTGACTGTACTTTTATACCACTTATATCTGTTGAGCCTGATATGCCAAACTACATCTCCAAATTCGTAAGTAAAGACTTTTTAAAACATTATATTTTACATATATAGTTAACCAACATGTGAGATTCTGATTCAAATTCAAAAATACTCTATTGATCCCATGGGCAAAATAAATATTGTTATAACTCAGATTAATTAATATTCTTCAACGAGTTATTGTAGTTAGTGATGGGTGTTAGCAGGAATAATCTCTTGTATTTTAATGTGATTTTAGCTCCATGATGGAATATTCTTTAAGCAGTTTCTTTAAGTATATGAAATGGCTTCTTCATGAAATGGAAATAGAATGTGAGAAAACTGCAGTGCGTGGGTGCAGAATGTGGTTTCCGACCGACAGAAGTGAAAACTGTCCTGGTGCTATCTGGACCCATCAGGGCACACTCTTTTTTTCTTTCTTCCACTCTTTAAATCTTTATTGTTCAAACTGATTTTTCTTTATTTCTTAAAGTAGCTGTTTCACTTGACTTGTCTTTATTAAAAACACTTTTCCTTTTGCTATACAAAACAGTACTTTGGTAACAATCAATGTAGATATCTTTTTATAGCCAGATATTTTTAGTTCCTTTTTTGTTCACCACCTCCATTTTCTATTTCCAAAACGATTTCCTCCTTAAAAATGGTGGTATGCACACCCATCCGTTTAGGAAGGTTTTAATCAGTCAGGTCAGAGTAATTTTGACAGCCTTCGTACCCCCCACTCTCCGTCAGAAACTCTTTTTAATGTCTGAGTGAAAAATTTTGATTTGATTATTTAAAGAGCACTAAGCGACTCTCTGCATTTGGCAATAAATACTAATTTTCTTCTTTCTTGTTAAAAATAACTCAGAGATTATCAATTCTCTGACACTAAAACCTAAATGATGAAGTGTTGAAAACTTTTTTAGGCTTTATCACTGAACAGTGGAAACCCCCACACTCACCTAGTGTTAAATTGAACAATTTCCTGTGACACTGGTGATTTCAATGTGATGCAAAAGGTCTTTCAATTGAAAGTACCAATTTGTTAGCTCAGATAAATCCAAGAGTATATAATTCTCAACCAAGCAAGATCTCAGGTTTGCTGTTCAAACATAGTACTGGACATAGTGCTGTCTGCGGATATGTGAGTTATTTCAGGGAAAACTTGAAAGTCAATAAAAGTATGATTACTATAAATAGACCATCTATTTTAACACTGCTCAACATTGTTCACAGTTTAATTTTAAAATAAGACTTACCATTTGAAGAGACACTTAGAACCCAGAGGGCAAAAAAGGGAATCCACTTGTCTGCTTTCATTGTCACGAGTCACACAATGTTTAGCAGCAGCAAGACGAGGCTGCTTTAATTTCTCCGTGCATCATGGGACAAAACCACAAGACCACTACGGCTCGGCTGCATCACTTTAGTCACCTAAATACTTCTGCAGGGTTTCACTTTGTACAGCAGTCAACAGAACACCACAACTTTAACTTTTTCAAACTTGATGGTGATCACGTTCGGCTTTAAACTTTATACGGTTTACTGTTTAGACCAAGCAGGTAGTGCAGAAAGGACATAACGTGACAAAAGCTCCCTCCACATCCTGTTGAAACTTGCTGACATTTACCGAGCGAGGGACCTCCAAATAAGAGAGGTACGATTTTTAGCCACCTTTCCTGCCCTTTCATGCCTCACTGTCAGTTTATATGAACAACAATTGCTCCTATGCAAAACTTGGGTAGTCAGATAAAAAAAAAAAACAAAAAAAAAAAACATTTTAAAAACACATTTCTGAAAAGTCTAAAAGTTAAATATGACATCTCTTTTTCCACTGCTGCGTCCTCTTGTCTCACCTTGGCAGAGTTGTGGTTATTTGTGTCAAAACAAACCAGAAGTTTCCTCTGATGCATTGAGAGCCCTGGGTGTGTGCAGATACCTCACAGCCATTGCTCAATTTGAGTGGGTAAACTTCCTCAGAGAAATGTTGTTTTAAAATATGTGCACAAAACTGTCAAATAATTATTTTAGTTTCATATAATTCAGCATATTGTTCCTCAATTTGTTTTAGTAGTGAGAGTTTCCAAGTAATGAAGTCTTTGCAGACTTTTAAAACGACACGTAGATTTTTTTTGTTTTGTTTTGTTCTGTTATGACATAAACCAAAAGAAAGTTAGAGGAACTTTTTTTTTGTTTTATTGTTGATTTAAAGAATGAATTATATACTATGTGTCCCCAGGGTTTTTTAAAATGTCGTAATTCTCAAGCTGAAATTTGGAAAAACAGCCAAGGTCTTCTCACTGGGAAAGTCAGGGACATTTTTGACCAATCTATATGCCTTGCAAAAACAACTTAAAATTATTTAAAGGGAAAAACAGTCAAACAAACTCACACATCGACACTATTTATTTGACTGTCCTGCAACATATTTCTCAAATTAATCACACTGTACCTGAGAATCTATTAAATAAAGAGCAAAGAAATGCATTATTTGCTTAGTCACTGTTATTACTCTGGTCACTGAAGACATTAATCAGCTAATCTTACAGGATGTTGAAGTGAACTACACTGAAAAATGTTTGGGTTTGGTTGGATGTCATTCACAGAGCCAAAATCTAACCTCATAGATGATGGAGCTTTGCAGCTGTGTTGGTTCATCATTGTCCGTTGCATGCAAGTTAATTTGCTTCAACCTTTCAAATGAGCAATATTGCAGTGCACTGGTATACATAAACCACAGGTTGAGAACTATGATGTTATGATCTTGGGGTGTTATTTCCTGTTTTTTTTTTTTTTCAATCTTGAGGAAACAGCTCTCCTTATTGGTTGGTTTCTGACTGATTAGCAGATACATCTGCAATAATCATCTCATCTTCAGGAGGTTGTATAAGGTCAGGCATCCTCCAGCCCCATTATATATTTGGTTGTGGCCATCAAGAGAGTCCTTGAGATCAGTTCCTGCATGTTGTCTACTTGTGACTCACCATGAGTATCTCTGCTTCTGCCTTCAGATGGTTTGGATTCCTCGAAGACCTCAGAGCTCAGATAGTAACATCCCCTGCTCTTCCCCTGAAAACAACCTCTTACTATAATTTGTACTGTCGGAGCTACGCTTATAATCTCTTTATTTGAGTCAACCTGCTGTCTGACTTACACCTGGAAATTTGGCACACGCCCACAACAATGGAGGGCAAAAAGACTATTATTTTACTTCCCATCCACATCCATGCAGCCACTGCATAACAATTCTGTTAACAAAATGAAACAAATTAATAAAATTGGTATTATTAATTTAGTGCAGTGTGCCACAACAATCGAGAAAATGACACTGAACATTTTTTTAAAAACCTCCAAACCACTAGTATTCTTTTTTTTTTTTTGTCTTGCTCTGTGTTGGCTATGCTACAAACAGACTTGGTGACATGGCAACTGACTGACAACAATACCACTAATGTATCAGCATTACATGCAGAAACATGAAATCAATTCCAAAACAAAACATTCAGACCATTACAGTTTTCAATGATACTGCTCAGAGATTATTGATAAGTGATCATCTCACCTGGATATTTCTAGTTATTCTGGTGTTGATAATTAGTGGCGAAGCACTGTATCCCCTTTTCTTTAACATATTTAGTGCATTTACAACTTGACAGGTAAACTTGATAAAGTAAAAAAAATTGCCTAACCAATTTCTGATGCAGAAAGTTTGAAAGACTACTGACAAACTCCTTTTGTATCTGATCTGTACATATGAAATGGTACCAAACATTCAGTTAAATTGCTCTTGTTTGTTTTTACGCAAGGTAACCCAAATACCCATTTTTGTACTATATGTATATAGTAGGCCTGCATAGTTGTTAGCAACTTCTTTGGCTTCCTACTTTCTTTCTTGTAAACATTCTACCTATTCTAAGCTCAAATCTTACAGAAACACCATGGATGTTGTCACTGAAGTTGAAAAACAAACACTGCCAGTTCTTAAAGAAAATACATTTCATTTTAATTCAATTTCTGGATGCAATGAAAATGTAAAGATGTATCTCTTTACATTTTTACGTAATGCATATTTTCAAGAAGACAGATGATGCAAATAAACATAATCTTTAAACTCTGTATTTGTATTAAATGCACTTTACCTGTTACAACATATGGATGTAAGACCACACTACAAAATATTACATCAAAAATGAATCCTACAGGTGAAGCGAGGAGCCATCAAACAAAAATACTCCAACCAAATCCAGAGCAGCAGCCTTCATTTTTAAGATAGACTCCTGGCAGGATAATTTTGTTTAGTTAACAGTAATGTGTGGGATTTTTCAAGAATCCATTGTAAATTTACATAAACATTTTTACATTGCCTCATGATAGGTTTTTTTTTTTTTACCACATGTCAGAGCTTAATTCTGTTAAGGTTTCTTAGTTTGGAAAGCTAGAATAATCGGAGAGGATGGAGCTAACAATAAGAAGAGGACTGCGGCCATGAAGATTGTGCAACATAAGTGACAGACAAGACAAGAGGCTCATTTGATCTCAAATTACCCATTACATCTCTGCTGATGGATCGGCAGTCCTGTCCTGTGTGATGTTGTTACAGCACCCTGAAAAATAATAGAAAAGTATATATAATGGCTAATCCATAACATCAAACACCAGCAAACCCTAGCTTGTTATTCTTGTAAACTTTTAATTTTGAGAGTGGCAGACCGGTACTCACGTTTTATGAAGTAGACAACAGCACTCAGAAACAGGAGAGCAGCCATGCCAATGAAGATGTATCTCAATAGTGAAACGTCTGCATATTTAATAAAAATTATTTTTTATTGGACAAAGTGGCTTATTTCATGTTTTTAGCTTTTTCAGAGTGTATAAGCATTGCTGCATACACCTGAACTGACTAATGTTTTGAATAGGTAAAAAAAACTGAAAGACAAAAATAACACTTTCTTTCTTCACATAACTCCACTTCAGAATTGATATTCTTCATTTTGCCAGATCAGAGTATTTTAGATCACTAATGACGATGGAGTCTGAGGCCTGGTTTGGAAAGGCTTTCATTGGACTCCAGGAATTGTACATGCCCAAAATGATAGATGAACCAGGTCCACTTCAGTCAGGTGAGCCCAGGTCACTCACTTAAGGTCATTTGATTAAAAAGTAACAATGTAGGAGCACAGAAGACACCGTAATAAACAATAATAGACCATAGATTGTTCACAAAAGTCTTCATCATACAATTCGTTTTGTGACTACTAACCCAAACAG